GAGGGGGCGACGCCGGCGGCCGCGCCGCGGAGCCTGGCGAGGAGGGCGCCCAGGACCTTTCGCCGCCAGCAGCTCCGCGGGCGAAGAGCTCCTCCTCCTCCTCCTCCTCCTCCTCCTCTTTCCTCCTCCTCCTCCTCCTCCTCCTCGCTCCTCGTTCCCCCCTCCTCGCTCGCTCGCCCGCGGCCCCCGGCCCCGCCTCCCCGCCGGCCGCGGGCCCCGACGCGCGAGAGATTGAACGGGCGAAGAACGGTATAAAATAAAGGTTTTCGCTGTCGGCGGCGCCTGTCCCTGGGCGGCTGGAAAGTTTGTACCCCTGCGGTGGCACCGTAGGGGCATAGACTTTCCAGCCGCCCAGGGACAGGCGCCCCCGACAGCGAAAACGTTTATCTTATACCGTTCTTCGCTCGCAGAGCAGCGGCTGGCGCGTGCAGTCGGCGGCGCCGTGGCGTCCGTCGTCGTCGTCGTCGCCGTCGGCGCAGCGTCGGCGTCGCCGCCAGCGTCGCCGCCGTCGCCGTCGCCGCAGCCGCCGCCGTAGTCTCCACGTCGTCGTTTCTGACGCCGCCAGTGTGGTCGCCGTCAGTCATCGACTCGTCGTCGTCGTCGTCGTCGCCGCCGCCGCCGCCGCCGCCGATTTGACGGTGGACGTCGTCGTCGTCGTCGCTGACGCCGCCGTGCCTCTCTGGCGGCCGGCCTGCCTGGGCGGACCGAGCCCTGCCGCCCATAGGTCGGGCGTCGCGGTCCTCCACAGGGCGTCGGCTGCTCGATACGTCGGTTTTGAAACGCAACGCGTGCCGTGTTCAAAACGACCGTGTCAACACGCTGCGTGTTGGCTCGGCACGTGTTGGGCCACGTTTTGGCGAATTCATCGCGCCAAACGTACGTACGTGTTCAATTTGCGTGTTGAGCTCCGTTTCAATACGCTACGTGTTGCGTGTCGCAGCTAAGCCTGCGACATACAGAGGTGGGCGCGATGCTCGAGGGTACAGTCAACCCGCAAAGTAAGGATGGGCAACCTTCCCAAAGGGTACCCTTGCATCCTTGCCTCCTCGGTCCATCCTTGGCCACTTTTGGTGGCTGCGCCCCGCTCGGAAAGCTCGGACATGGCCTCCAATGCCATTGCATCCTTACCGCGCATCCTTACTACGCGGGTTGACTGTGTGTGCGACCCGTCTCGAGCCTTCGAGCAGTATCCCTTTTGGGTGTTCATGTTATTCTCCTGCAGCGTGTGCTTCTTGCGGCTCCCAGCCTGGAATTGCACTCGTTCTTGAGCTCACGTTATTGCGTGGCTATTTAGTCCGATTCGAAAAAGGCGAATGTAGTAGAGGACTCATTGTCATCATCTTCATCATTCAACATCAGTATCAGCAACAGCAGCGCCGCCGTCACAACATCATTGCCATGTCCATCAGCATCATCCTCATCACCAGTATAATCATGAGTCATTACCATCAAGTCGGCATCATCATAATTTTCGCCATCGTCATCATCCTCTGCCACATCGTCATTATCATCACCATCATCATGACCATTACCATCACCATCACCATCACCACCATCATAATCATCAACCTCATCACCATCATCACCATAATAACAGTAATAATAATCACAATCATCATTATTAGCATCATCATCATCATCATCATCAGCAGCAGCAGCAGCATCATCATCATCATCATCATCATCGTCATCATCACTATCATCATCATCATGCGTAGCCATTTTGGCTGAAGCCTTTTGGCTCAAACCATTTTGGCGCAAGGCAGGGCTCCGAGTTGCAGCGACAGGCGCTGCTGCATTTTGCGGTCCCGACCAGAGCCCTCCCCGCCTCGCCGACCATGGCGGACTAGAGCCTGCGGGCCTCCATCCAGGCGGTGATTGACAAGCAGTCCGCCAGCTTCGCGAGGACGTGGCCCACAGTGTGAGTTCCTTGGAGACCAGCACGAAAAAGGCACGCAGGAGGCGACCGACAAGAGGGCTGCTGCCCTGCAGCGTATCCTTGGTCGTCAAGGTCTGCAGCCTTCCTCGGAGAATGTTGCGGCTAGCAAAACTGACCGCAAAAGGCCCCTTCGTTCCTCGCTTGGCGTTCCTCGTAGAAGCAGGGTGACTATTTGCGCCTCTTAGCCGTCTTAGGGCGCTCTTAAGATGTCTTGGGGCACCCTTGGAGGCCTCGTGGGCTGTTTTGGGGTGGTCTCGGGTGCCTCTTTTGGGCCGTCTTGGAGCGTTGGAAGGCCGAAAAAGGCGAAGACTGTTGAGACTATGATCGAGCAGCTCAAGCGGGGGACCAGGCTCGTGCGCCCACGGCTGCTTCAAGACATCGTCCGCACGCGCATCTGCCCCCCCGGCCTCCAGATGCGGAGAACGCGCGCCCCCCGGTCCGATGTGGCGAACAGGAGCCGCCGCTGGATCCGCACGTTCCCTGGGGCGCGATTCGCTCGCGAGCGCCGTCCTCACTTCGAAGAGTCTGTATTTCCTCTTGTTCCTCAAGGTCTGGCTGCGTCCATCACTCCGGATGTTCTGGGCGCGTCCAAATCTCATTGCCTTGACTTCAACAGCGAGTTGTAGGCGGAGCGCTTCCAGGACCTGGTCGCCACCGACCCCGATGGCATCAAGTGGCCCGACCCCAGGACGAACACGCACCAACTGATCAAGAGCCGCAGAGACATGCCGCTCGACGTCCGCGCTCGTCAGCGCGCCTGCAGCCATATCTACGCGAAATTGTGGCAGATGCTGAACGTGGCCAACCCCGACGTGCGCGCGACCAGGCCTGGCGTCAATGGCTACAAGAGCATGGTCAATTTGTGCGGCGGCGCTGACAACGGTGAGACCTGGGAGATGATCTATATCCGAGGCATAAAGATGGCCAGATGGTCCTTCGAGCCGAACACCACGAACTGCCGCTTTCGGCGGCTCCATGATGATGGTGTACTGCAGGCGATTGCGACGGCGACTGCTCACTCGAACTTGTTCCAGGCCCGTTCTGGCAACTAGTGCGAATTTAACCAAGAATCAGATGCCCGCCGTGAAGTTCGAGACAAGGCCATAGCTGAGACATCACGATTTTCCCGCGTTGTCTCTCATCTCACGTTTGTTGTTTGGCAGGTCTTGCCATCCGCGCGCTCGCGATTGGGCGCCTTCAGATTTCTCTGCGCTCGGACCAGGTCCCCATGCTCGTGGCCATCGAGAGATATGCCCTCGCTTGCGCCGCTCAGCACCACGTTCCTCTTTGGACCGCTCTGCATCGCGCGCGCCAGTAGTTGTTATCGAGAGCTGCCCCCTCCATCCCCGTCATTGCTGAACGCGTTCCGCGTTGTTGGCCCCATCACGATCCTCGCTCGCACGCAGCAGACGATGCGTGACATCTGAAAGCGAGCGAAGCAAACCATATCATGCCTGCCTGCGGAAACGTTGTTCGGGAAGCATCGCTGGTCTACGTCTGCTCTGCGTGGCTGGAGGTCTGCTCATCGACTCCGCACGCTGGAATGCGGGGCGCACCTCTGCATGGCCTGAACAGGATCACTCCTGAGGTGGATCACCCCGAGACTCTCTGCAGCAGGTATCCGAGCGTTGCAGTTGCAGGTGCTCGAACCCGAGGCATCTCTGGTTGAGGACACCCCTTCTGCGAAGGCGGTGCTCGGATGGCGGCCCCTGGTAGTGCCCCGGGAGGTCGCAGGCCTGGAGGTGGACGCCAACACCAAGATCGGCGGTGTGCCTCCCACCGAGGGAAGACGATCCCGATCTCGGTGATGGTGGCAATCTTCCGGCTTCCAAGGTGGCCGAACTATTGCCACCGACACCGAAATCTAGGATCTCCTTCCCCATATGAAGGCAACTCCCTGTCTTGGTGTGGGTGCCAGTTTCTGGGCATCTAGGGAGGGGCAATTTGTCTGGAGGCGCTTTCGCAGATGCGCCCGGCCTCTTGGCGTTCTGGGCCAAGATAACGTCCCCTGCCCTTCCCTGGAAGCGTCGGCGCGCGCGCGCCGGGCAGGCGCGGGGGGGGGGGGGGGGGGGGGGGGTCTCGGCGGCGCGCGGGGGCTGGCGGTTCGATGCGGGATGCGATCTTTGAGCGCACTCTCCCTCCTCCCCCCTCCTCCCCCCTCCTCCTCCTCCTCCCCCTCCTCCTCCTCCTCCTCCTCCTCCTCCTCCTCCTCCTCAGGGCTGCCCGTCCGCGGCCTGTGCGAGGTGCGAGCCGGCGCGCCGAGGCTCGGCGCCCGCGCCCGCCCCGGAGGCGCTTCGGCGCGCGCCTCCGCCGTTCGGCCGCGCGTTCGGCTCTCCCATCATGCTTCGCACGAGTTTCGAAATCTCGAAGTCGCTCATCTCGCAGGCCTGGAGTTCCAGACCCCCTCGAGTTATGAAAAAATCACGACGCGAGGTTTTTCATGATTTTCGGCCTCTGGGGGCCCTTACCGGCCCTCGGGACCGTCCAAAAACGACTCAGGACGAAAAACCGGTCCCGGGGAATGGGTCCGGACCTCTGGGGGTCGACGTCATGAAAAATTCATGACGTCGGGGGTCTGGGTTTGACACCAACACCAATATCAGCGGCGTGCCTCCACAGAGGGAAGAAGGTCCCGGTCTCGCTGATGGTGGTAACATTCTGGCTTCCAAGGTGGCCGAAATGTTACCACCAACACCGAAATCTAGAACCATCTTCCCACTGTGGTGGCAACCCTCTGTGTTGGTGTTGGTGCCAATTTCCAGGCCTCCAACCATCATACGTCGCACGAGTGTCGAGATCTCGAATTCGTTCATGCCACCATCTGATGAAAGCTAGAACCACTCTATGCTGGGCTGGCTGGCTGTTCAATTTAGGATGTGATCTTTGAACGCACTCAGCAGGCCCAGCATACGTCGTACGAGCGCCGAAATCTCGAATTCGTTCATGCCACCTTATGATAAAAAGCTAGAACCACTCTGTGCTGGGCTGGCTGGCTGTTCAATTTAGGATGTGATCTTCGAACGCACTCAGCAGGCCCATCATACTTCGCATGAGTGTCGAAATCTCGGATTCGCTCATGTCACCATATGATGAAAGTTGGAACCGCTCTGTGCTGGGCTGGCTGGCTGCTCAATTTAGGATGTGATCTTCGAACGCACTCAGCAGGCCCATCATACTTCGCATGAGTGTCGAAATCTCGGATTCGTTCATGCCACCATATGATAAAAAAAGCTAGAACCACTCTATGCTGGGCGGGGGGGGGCCCTGCCAGCGTTGGCTCGTGGGCGATGCCCCCCAGATCTCATTCGCGGTGTCTCAGGGATTCCGCGAGGGTGCGATCGCTGACTTGCCTGTTGACGCGCGCATCATGCCAATGATTCTTGTTGCCGAAGCGCGAGGCGCAAGCTGATGAAGGTCGATTATCGTCCGAAGCTGTCCTGAGATGCGCCCTCTCTCCATGGGCAACGCTGGCGCGAAGTTGTTACATTGCGCCTGTTGTCTTTCGCTCTCTCGGATGTCGCTGAGCGCGGTTGAGCAGTCGCAGTCATGTATAGGTGGGAGTGCACTTTTGGTAATTTGGTATGCTTGGAGAGTTGGGGTATCCAGCGTGATCTTCTTGGCCACGACCGTTCCGGCATGCATCTGATTGATTCCAGGGCCGTTTTCTTGTCTATTTTGATCCGGGTCATGATTGAGGTTCTGAGGAGGGTGGGTGTTCCGAGTTTTGCGCCGATGTATTGCCAGTTTTGTCGCAAAGACAACTGGGCAATTCCAATTATTTGGTTCGGCAGATAAGCTACAGGAGGCCCGCATCTTCGGATAATCTTCAACAGGAAACTTAAAGCCCCCAGAATTTGGCATTAATCTCTAAACCTAAACCTCGGAAAAAAGTCAATCCCCCAAACAGCTTCAAAACATCTCCAAGCCAAACCCTGGGGAAATGTCAGACCCAGAAAAGCTTGAAACCGAAACTCCAGTAACATCTGAAGCAGAGAAATCGGACAAAAAAACAGATGCGCACTTGAAAACTTAACAGAAACGGCGGGACTGTTTCAGAGACTGCTCTAATTTTTTATGTAAAACAAGCAGACAAGTTTCCTATGCCGCCGGGGTTTGCATTTAGAGTTATTGATGCCCCCCCTCCAGAGTTTTTTAGAGTTTGTCAGGCGGCCAGAGATGTGGTTAGAGTTGTTTGAGAGTTGTTTCGGGTGGCTTTGAATGTTTAAGACATAGTTATCGGGCGTTCAGAGTTGTTTACAGTTGTTTCAAGCATGTGTTTTTGAGTTGTTTTAAAGAGTTTCTCGATTGTACCGACTTTTCTCTATATATATTTTTATATATATATATATATATATAACTTCTTGGCCAAGCTAAAAAAATGTTTGAGGGTTTCGGTTTCAAATCAAGTGTTTGCTTGGTTTGAGGTTTTCCAAGGTTTGGTGTTAGAGATGCTTTAGAGTTTTTGGGGGATATCAAAATTTGCTCAATTTGTTGGCTTTACGTTTTTTGAGTTTGCAAGGGTTTGAGATGTTCCTATGTTTTGGCTTCGAGATGTTGGATTGTTAGGGGAAATTGCGATTTTCGCAGGTTTGGGCTTAGAGATGTTTTGAAGTGTTTGTGGGTTCTGGGGTTTTCGCAGGTTTAGGCTTGGGGTTGTTTTTTATATGTTTTTTGGTCATCAGAGTTTGAGTCCAGTCGCGCGATATGGCGGTGGACCGCCTGTAGTCGCTCCTGCCGGACCTAATCCTATTATGCGTGGGCGCAGGTTCGGGCGAGCTGCGACCCGACGTGGCGTGAAGCAATGGGGGCCCCGGCAGGATGCTCCTGCTCTGCCTCGCCCTCGGCCCCGTCCTTCGGCGCGCGCGGTCGCGCCTGGCGAATCGCCTGCAGCGCGCCCTCGCATATGCTGACGGCTGCCTGCCTGCCACGCGGGACATCCAAGGGCGCCCTCGAGGGCGCGAAGCTCTTCGCGCCTCGCGCTTCGCGCTCCGAGCCCTCCTCGCCCTCCGCCTCTCCCCCGGAGAGGCGCCCTCGAGGGCGCGAAGCTCTTCGCCCTCCGCGCCCTCGCCTCAGCGCGGGAGCGCGGAGTTGGGAGCCCTGGCCTCTCGCCCTCCCTCTGACCTGCCTCCTCTCTTCCCTCCTCCTCCCCCCCTCCCGATTTCCTCGCCCCTTCCCCCCCTCTCGCTTCCGCTTCCCACTCCCCCTCTTCTCCTCTGCCTCCTCCAAATCCCCTCCTCCTGGAATCGTGGACCGGGAGCCCATGGGCGTCCCTCCCTCGCTTCCTCGGGCAGGGGCTCTGTTGGCCAACGAGCGGGCCGGCCTGCGGACTCGAAGCGGACCTTTCGGAGCTGTCGGGTCTCGGTCCGGAGGGGAGCTCAGTATCGAATTTCTCACAAAGCAGTGTCTCGGATGGGCCTGTTTTCCACCACCACCACCACCACCATAAGTTGGAGGGGGGGGGGAAGGAGGTGGAGGACGAGGAGGAGGAGGAGGAGGATGAGGAGGAGATGGAGGAGTAGGAGGACCCCGTCCCCCTCCAGCTTATGGTGGTGGTGGCGGAAAACAGACCCGTCAGTCTCGGAGAATGTGAATGGGCCAGCGGAGGTTGAGTTCGTTCGATCTGTGATATGTGTCGGCATTGCCATTGGTCTTGGGGCTGAAGACGCTGGGTGGCGGGACCCCCGTTCAGAAGAATTGTTTCTTGCTGCGCTCTCTTCGCCAGATGGGTCTTGGGATGGTTGTTACTCTGCTTTCGAATTTGGTCATCAAGTGGATCCTGTTGCACTCTAAGTTTCTAGGCAGCAGCAGGAGATGCTGCAGCTTCTGACGTCTGCCCCTCGGCACTCACTTTGGTATACTATGTTTGCGCGCTTCAAGTCCGTGGGTCTGGATATCGGGACGAAAGATCTCATTGGTCAATCGGACGCCTCGAGAGTTCGCTTCGCAGTTTGTTGCCCTGCTGTTGAACGAGCCCGTCGTGAGATTGATGCAGCAGTGGTAATTGTCAGAGTTTGTACCACAATTCGTTCCTGACCTCTCTCCTGAGCGTCTTTATTGTCTCAATGTCTGTCGTCCCTTCGATTCCTGACAATTGCCAGAAGCTCCAAGCTAAACTTCAAATTGCATTACACAGGAAAGACCCGTTCAGTATTCTTCCGAGTGGTGGCGTTCGCCAGAGTCTTCAGAAGTGGGTCCCGAATGTGAACCGTGTTCTGCTTGACCATCTGGCAAAGCAGGTTCGGTCGGTCACGAAGTTCTATGGTCCGCACATTGTTTCCAGCATCCTTCGTTCCAGCTGTCGTGGAGTGTGTACCACAGCTCGGTATCGTGACTTCTCCTCTACCACGAGCTGTGTTGGTTGCTATTTGCTCGTTTCGCCCACAATCGTCCCGACCAACGTCGACTATAAGCGTCATTGTCGAGAATGCCCCTGGATACGTCATGCGTGCCCCAATGCTAATGAGAAGAGGTTGCCCAGAGGTGGCCCCTGAACGTCCGAGGTTCAAGTATCTCCTCCCTGCGTATACTGCTTATGCGATGCACCGTGTATTTTGTGCATGCCTACACGATGCTTTCCACCACACTCACAGCCATGTGCGAAACCGTTTCTTTTGGACACCCGAGCAAGACTCTTGAAGCAATGTTGGGGGCACAATCTCGTCAACATCGGTCTGCCTCGAAACCGTGGCAACAACTTGGACTAACAGTCTGGTGATGGCGGATGGAGTATCAGCACCATCATCACCAATACCGTCGTCGAAATGATTACCGCCCGCATCATCTTCGTCACCATCATCAGCATCACCACCGTCAATGTCGTAGTCATAAACACTATCATAATCGTACTCATCACCATTATCATTTTTATCGTCGGCATCATCATCATCCTCATCCTCATCATCATCAGCATCATCACCATCATCAAGAACGTCATCATCATCATAATCATCATCATCATCCTCATCCTCATCATCATCATCACCACCATCATCATCATCAGCAGCAGCAGCATCATCATCATCCTCATCTTCATCCTCATCATCATCATCATCATCATCATCATCATCATCATCATCATCAGCGGCAGCATGACCGTTTCGGGACCTGGTGAGGTTGCCATCGGCTGCGGCTCGTCCAGATGCTTCTGCAGGGGGGGGCGCAGCTGCCCTGAGCGGCCGTAAGAGGCCCGAGCTGTGGCCGGAGAGCCACGAGTGTGTGGACGCAGCGGGGGCTCGACGTCCACGCGGGTCAGCCAAATCCCCTCCGATCGATCATGGTAGAGTTTAGTTTGGGGGCCACATGGGGCGGAGACCCCCTCCCCAGCCGCACAAGAAGGAGGAGGAGGCGGAGGAGGAGGAGGAGGAGGAGGAGGAGGAGGAGGGGGAGGAGGAGGTGGGGAACGGAGGGAGAGGGAGGGTGTGTAGGTGGCAGCAGGAGGGCGGGAGGAATTGTGAGGGAGGAGGTCACAGGTGGTAGGGAGGAGGGACGAGGAGGGAGGGGAGAGGAGGAGAGAGGAGGAGGAGGAGGAGGAGGGGAGGAGGAGGAGGAGGAGGAGGAGGAGGAGGAGGAGGAGAAGCAGGAGAAAGGAGGAGGAGGAGGAGGAGGAGGAGGAGGGAGGGCGAGGAGGAGGGCGAGGAGGAGGAGGCGAGGAGGAGGAGGGCGAGGAGGAGGAGGGCGAGGAGGAGGAGGAGGGAGGAGTCGAGGAGGAGGAGGGAGGGAGGAGGAGGATGAGGAGGAGGAGGAGGAGAAGGAGGAGGACGAGTAGGAGAGGCGAGGCGGAAAAGGCCACTGGCAGCGACTCTCGCCAGGACGAGGCAGGGGCCGGGCCTGGCGCCGGCAGCGGCGCCGCCGTCAAGGTGGCCGGCGCAGCGGCGTTACTGGTCGCTGCCGGGGTTGCGGCAACGCTAGGCGGGGAGCTCGGGTTGGGGGCCTCTCCTCGGAGGCCCAGAGGATGAGGAGAAGGAGGAGGAGGAGGAGAGGGAGGAGGGGAGGAGGAGAAGGAGGGGGGGAGGAGGAGGATGGAGGAGGAGGAGGAGGAGGAGGAGGAGGAGGAGGAGGAGGAGGAGGGAGGAGGAGGAGGAGGAGAGGGAGAGGAGGAGGAGGAGGAGGAGGAGGAGGGAGGAGGAGGAGGAGAGGAGGAGGAGGAGGAGGCAGGGGGAGGAGGAGGAGGAGAAGGAGGAGGAGGACGATAAAGGAAGAGGAGGAGAGGAGGAGGAGGAGGAGGAGGAAGAGGAGGAGGAGGAGGTTCCAAGATCGGCAGCTGCCTCCACCCAGTGAGGAGGCTGCTGATCTCGGCGAGGGTGGTACACGCCGGTTGTTGACAATGTGCTTTTGGGTTTTTTTTCGGTTCCCAATCTCGTTTTCAGGCGCCTTCCTACTGCAAGGGTCGAGTGGCTGCAGCTCTTCCTTCCTCTTCGGGGGGCGGGCGGGAGCCCCATCAACTTCCCGCGCCCTCCTGCTTCATGGCTTTGCCTACTTTTTTTCTGACCGGCGTGTGCTGCCTGGTCGCCGCAGCTGGCCGACAGAGTACCACCAGCCCAGAACTCTGAGATCCTTCCCTCCCCTCTGCGGAGACCCCCCTTCTGTATTGGTGCAGTCACCACTGCGCAGGCCTCCGAGTCTCGACGGCCCGAAAAAGAAAGCCAGACTCGCGCCGGAGGTGCTTGGCCATTTTCGCGTCTGGGGGCAGGTCTTCGGGAGCGAGAGAAGGACGTACACGTACATGAATCCACGCTGTCTTCGAGAGTTCGCACAGCGCAAATGTTCGAATAGCGCGGCCAGACTCGCGGACCGAGGGGCCGTGTTCATGTACATAGCTGGGCGCGTGCGTCCTTTGTGGGCTCCCTAGCTCCCCCCCCCCCCCCCAGACCTCCCGTCCCCAATAAACGTCAGGAGGGGAAACAACACACAGACACAATTCATCGTCGATCCCCCAGAAAATCTGGGAAACTATGGGAAGTGGGGGGAAGACAGAAACCCAGAAAATGCGGGAAAATATGGGGAATCATTTTATTTGTTTGTATCTATTTTCGGGGGAGCGCAAGACCCGGGTTTGCCAGGACTCGGGTTCGCCATCGTTTTTTGACGACCGCGACTCGGATTTTGACGAGTAGGAGTTTCGTGGGATGTCTGCAGCGGGAGGCCTCGTCAACATGCAGGCTCGGCCTCGTCATTTTTTTGGCGACCTCGTCGGGGATTTCCGAGTCCCCTGTACCCGGGTCTTACGCCCCCCTGATATTTGTGTGTCCCAGGGCCCCTTCGAATAAAGTTCTTAGCCGTGTAGCGCACGGCGGGACGCCAAGCTTCCAAAGAACAAGTTGGTCGGAGTTGCATCTGGTCTGAGTGCTCTGGTTGGTCTGGCTGGTCTGGCTGGTCTGGTTGGTCTGGTGTGAGCCTGGTGCTGAGCTTTAGCTTAGGATTCAGGCGAGAGTGGTTTAGGGGAGGTCCGGGGAGGCAGCAGCAACCCCTACCCCTTCCGAAAAGCAGATTTTGTTGCATTGCAGTTTTTTTGTTGCATTGCAGTTTTTTTGCATTGCAGTTTTTATTTGCATTGTATTTTTTTGTTGCATCTGGTCTGGCTGGTCTGGGTGGTCTGGTTTGAGCTCGGTGCTAAGGCTTTAGCTTAGGATTCAGGCGAGTGGTTTAGGGGAGGTCCGGGAAGCAGCGACAACCACTACCACCGAAAAGCAGTTTTTTTTGCATTGCAGTTTTTTTGTGCATTGCAGTTTGTTTTGCATTGCCTTTTTTTTGCATCTGGTCTGGCTGGTCTGGGTGGTCTGGTTTGAGCTCGGTGCTAAGGCTTTAGCTTAGGATTCAGGCGAGAGTGGTTTAGGGGAGGTCCGGGGAGGCAGCGACAACCACTACCACCGAAAAGCATTTTTGTTGCATTGCAGTTTTGTTGCACTGCAGTTTTTTTTGCATTGCATTTTTTTGCATCTGGTCTGGCTGGTCTGGGTGATCTGGTTTGAGCTTGGTGCTGAGGCTTTAGCTTAGGATTCAGGCGAGAGTGGTTTGAGGAAGTCCGGGGAGGCAGCGACAACCACTACCACCACCGAGAAACAGTTTTTTTACATCGCAGTTTTTTTTGCATAGCAGTTTTTTTACATTGCAGTTTTTTTTTGCATCTGGTCTGGCTGGTCTGGGTGGTCTGATTTGAGCTTGGTGCTGAGGCTTTAGCTTAGGATTCAGGCGAGAGTGGTTTGGAGGAGGTCCGGGGAGGCAGCGACAACCACTGCCACCGAAAAACATTTTTTTTGCATTGCAGTTTTTGTTTGCACTGCAGTTTTTTTGCATTGCATTTTTTTTTGCATCTGGTCTGGCCGGTCTGGGTGGTCTGGTTGAGCTTGGCGCTGAGGCTTTAGCTTAGGATTCAGGCGAGAGTGCTTTAGGGGGATCCGGGGAGGCAGCGACAACCACTACCACCACCGAGAAACAGTTTTTGTTTGCATTGCAGTTTTTGTTTGCACTGCAGTTTTTTTTGCATTGCAGTTTTTTTCTGCATCTGGTCAGCTGGTCAGGCTGGTCTGATCTGGTTGGTTGGTCTGGCTGGTCTGGCTGGTCTGGTTGGTCTGGCTGGTCTGGTTGGCTTCGCTGGTCTTGCGTCCCTCTTGGTGCCGTCTTGGAGCCCTCTTGGGCCGTCTTGGGGGCCTCTTGGGCCGTCTTGGGGCCGTCTGAGCCAGTCTCCATAAAAAGTTATACTCCGACAGGTCTGCGACCGCGACCAGGACCGGCCGCGACGACGACGACGACGACCGGGAAGACGACGGCCACGACGACTTCAGCTGAATCTTGCTTCCCAAAGAAATGAACCTGTCGTCATAAAAATGGATACGCCGACAGGGCTGCGACCACGACCACGACGACCACGACGAGGACGATGGTGGTTGGTCTGCCTTGTCTGGTTGGTCTGGCTGGTCGATCTGGTTGGTCTGATTGGTTGGTCTGGCTTGTCCGATTCGTCTGGCTGGTCCGATCTGGTTGATTCCTGGTCTGGTCTGGCTGGACTGGTTCGTCTGGCTGGTCTGGTCTGTTCTGTCGGGCCTGGTCAGCTGGCCAGGCTGGTCTGGTCTGGTTGGTTGGTCTGGCTGGTCTGCTTGGTCGGGCTGGTCTGGTTGGTCTGGTTGGTCTGTCTGGTCTGGTTCGTCTGGTTCGTCTGGTTGGTCTGGTTTGTTCGCCGGGTTGGTCTGCCGCGCTTGCTCTACTGGCTGTGGTTGGTTTGGTTCGTCTTATTGATCTGGCTCGTCCGGCCCAGAGATTGCATTTGGATCCGGTCTCGGCTTGCAAGTCGCATTGTCGCTGGCGCGATGAGTCGCACTTGCCGGCTGACTTTGCGTAGAAGGGGAGGGAGGGGGAAGAGGAGGAAGAGGAGGACCGTCTCTGACGATGCCAAAGCCTGGCGACCCTTCCGGAAGGGCCGAATCGTTGACAACAGAACGACGTTGTCGCCGTCGTCTTCGTCCTCGCCTTCGACTTCCTCGTCGTCGTCGTCGTCGTCGAACTCGTCGAACTCGTCGTCGTCGTCGTCGTCGTCGTCGTCGTCGTCCTGCCCCTGGCGTCGCCACAGCTGGGGCTGAACCGAAAGCGCTGCTGCGTCAAGTTCCGCTGTGGCGGCACGGGGATGGGGGAGAGGGACCATCAGCAGCCATATCAGTTCTTATGCCCCAAAGCAAACAAAGGCGATGGGGCATAAGAACTTTGCGCCTTGAGCGGCTTAGAATAAACGCTGCTCGCCACAGCCTCCTCCGCGGGCGGCGCCTGCGACTGCCGCGGCCTGGCCTGTGGCGAGGGCCGCCTGCGGCCAGGTGCCTCTCCCGCGCTCGGCCCCTCCACGAGCCGGCTCTGCGCCGAGCTCGGGCTCGTACATCTCTCTGGCGCGTGGCCGCCGGGCGTTCCGCGCGGGAGTCCTCAGAAGGTGGAGAAACACACAGACACAAGTAATCGTCGATTCCGCAGAAAACATGGGAAAATATGGGGAGTGGGGGGAAGACAAAAACCAGAAAATATGCATGTTTTCCTTCGGCGAGGACCATCGAGGAGCATCCTTGAGCATGTGGCGAAACAAACACGCACGACACCGGAAAAAAACACAGGGAATGGACGTCCGAGCGATGGCCAGCTAGCGCGTGGCCTCCGGGCGTTCCGCGCGGGAATCCAGCCGTGCTCTCTTCCAGCTTTCTGGCACGGCAGAGGGACTCAATTAATTAGTGAGCGCCCCCCCCCGCCCCCCCAGCTCAAAGTCTGCACGTGCGGGGGAGACTGCGGTCGAGGTGCAGCAAATCAGGCCCACCGCCAACTCTGAACATTGGGGGGGAGGGGGAGGCGTTCGCAGATGAACGTGGCATGAGCGTTCGCCATTTTTTCCGAGGCCCGTACGACCTGTGACGAGGACGACGCTGAGCATGGCGTCGACGACGCCAGCGGCGCTGGAGAACTGCGTCCGCCGTCGTGCGTGCCTCCCTCGCCCACTCCCTCCTCCTCCCACCTCCTCCTCCTCCTCCTCCTCCTCCTCCGTTGCCATTTTGGCTCAAGGGGCCTTCTCCTGAACTTCCAACTTCGCTCAAGCAATTGAGGCGTGTCTGTTTGTTCGGATTGATCGCACCAGAGACTGCGGCCAGGGGTTCGCGACCCCATGGCGAAATCCCAGTATGTGCAATGTCGGCAGTGCGAATATCAGTGGAACTCGCGCACGCGAAGAGCATGCTTCAAGTGTGGAGGAGGCCTTCAACCGAGCCCGAAGGAGGTGCAGCCACCTCAAGGACAGTGGTCGTTGCCATCACCACCACAGCCGCCGCCGCAGCCATCTTTCCCGCTCCCATCGCCGCAGCCTGTTTGGCTTTTGTTCCCGCAGCAGTCGCAGAACATGTTCGGCCACAGCGTCACCTCTCCGTTCGCCTTGCCGCCGAGGCCCGCAATACCGCCGCCCCCGTTGCCAGCGGACGCGATGGGCTACGACCAGTGGGGCAACTGGGTGACGCAACAGAAGGAGAAACATAACCGCAAGAAGAATAAGGGCGGCGTTGTCGACCTGGACGCTGACGACGTGGTGCTGGAGGACGCCTTCGCTGTCATCGCGAAGAAGCTGGGCCCCGAGGCCATGAGGGAGCTCAAGAGTAAGGTCGTGGCGCCGCCCAAGCCTACTCACACCCCTCTACCTGAATGCAGTCTCAAGCAAGCTGATGAAGCCGCCCGTGCCGCCATCAAGAAGTACGAGGGGGCCGTCGCCTGGGTGAAGAAGGCGAAGCAGCAGTGGCAGGAAGCTGAGCACTACTTGACGGAGCAGGCCACCGCGCTGGCGGAGGCCGAGGCTGAGGAGGAAAGGGTACGCGCCAGCCTGGCGCCCGCACCCAAGCTGACCGCCCCTCCCCCAGCCGCAGTTGGCATCGACTTGCTGGCGCTCTTGAAAGGTGAAGACATTTCTATCAGTGAAGGAGATTTGCTCGACCTGGACACTCAGGACGACGATTACGAAGGCGCTGGCGAATTTCTCGACCAATGGAAGCAGAAGAAAGAGCAGCTGGGCGCCTTCATCAAGCAGCTGGTCACCGATCACTTCAAGCCTATGGCCGAGCAGGTCAAGGCCGAGGTGGGCGCTATTCGCGACCAGCGCCAGCGCCTGATCTCCCACAAGCGCAAGAAGGGCAGTGACGGTGCCCCTCTCGCGGGCGCTCCTGCTGAGCCCGCGGCAGTGGCGTCGCCGTCGCAGACACAGAAGACCGCCGAGGCCACCGTGTCATCGCAGTCACAGCAGACGAAGGCGAAGATCAGCGCGCGCACCGCAGAGCTGATCGCAGCGGGCAAGGGCACGAGCAAGGGTGACGCTGCCACCGGCGGCGGCGCGGGCGCTGGACACGCCCCAGCCCACCTCCCTGGGCAAATCGCAGAGGGAGGCGCAGGAGCTCGCTGCGTCAACAAGGAGCTCGTGGGCGCTGAGGCTCCCACAGCTACACCTACGAGTACGGCTACATCAGCGTCTTCTCTGTTATCTTCCAGGCTGGGGTCGAAGAAGGCTCAGACTCCCGCTCCAGCGACCCCCGGCACGTTAGAGGAGCTTCTCCTACGACGGCGCAGAGTGGGCCAGGAAGCTCTGGGGCGGGCGAATCGGCTGGAGACCCTCAGCCGCTCGCACCTTGTCCTGAAGTTCTACCTTGGTCTCCCGCTGGCAGGGCAGGCTCTGAGAAATCGCTCGAAATCTACATGCGCAACATCACCAAGTGGGGCCCGAAGGTGGTGGATTACCTGAAGAAAGATTGGCGGCAATGCGGCATTGTTGGCAATGCGGCATTGCTGGCCTTTGCGAACACCGCCAAGGGCCTGAAGATATGAACGTCCTGGGCAAGGACATAGCGAAAGCAGGATGGCGCCGAGTTCTCTCGCCCGCTACGCCCAGGGTCAACATTCGTAAGGCTGGAGGAACATTGCTGGCAGTCAAGCGTGGGCTGAACGCTCGCTCATTGCTCATCTTGCGTCTCACATCTCACAGCGTTATGGCACAAGCGATGGAGGAAAGAAGGGGCTCGGACATGGCCCTGTCGATTCCCGCGATATTTTTTCAGCTATGAGTATCCGCGCATCTTGGCAGCAGATCGTAGTTGTGCAAATTTACCTCGGCCATGTCATCGGAGTACGAGGCAGAAACCCACGCAAGCTTCGCACGATCGGCGGCTTCCTATCGGCACAAGCTTCCCCATGAATTGCTCTCGGCGGCTGGAATGTCGAGCCCGCTGACATCAACGCCTGGATGGAGAAGCTGGCGGCAGTGCAAGTCTTACCCGAGAGCGTTGCCGTGACAAGCTTTGCTGGCGAGGGCAGGCTCTACGACTTCGCCGCGCGCCCTGGGGACCTCCGCCCGATCGCGAGGAGCACGCTGTCGATCACGGATGGCGAATGGAAGGCGCACGCGGCCCTGCAGATCTCGCTGGGCCTGAATCCGTCTGACTCGGAGCACCGCGCTTGCGTCGTGCCCAAGCCTTCTCCGCACCCAGCTCTGCCTAAGCGTGCGCCTGACCCTAATAGTAAGTCTAGCCTCCGAAAGCGTGGCCAGAAATCCCGTTCCCAACCGGCCAGAACCAAAGTTTCGAAGCCTCAGCGAGGCGCCGAGGGGGCCTCAGGGTTTGGAGATTACGAGGTCCCTTTCGGTCCTCTGCCAGCGGTAGGCGCTGCTCCTGATGACGACTTTGATTTCCCCGAGGTCGGCCAGGCCCCCGATGCCGCAATTGGCCCGGTGCCAGATAATCCTTCTCCTTCCTCCGATCATCTTCCTCCTCTTGACGCTCGTCTCCAGGAAGACCTCTGGGCACGGGTCCATCCCAGATAAGTGAGTGCAGCGAGAGATCGAGCGAGGGGCCCCTTCGAAGACCCGTGGCTGTTCAGGGTATCTTGCGGGCCCTGTGGCTCCCGAACAGCTTGCTGTAAGATTCGGCACGTGGGCTTCTCGCGTGGAAAATTTCTACTGCGAAGCTTGCGCTATTCCGCCTGACGCCCAGTCTGCGTTTTAAGGCCGAGGCGTTGCGCAGCCAATCCAGGTCAAAACCATAAGCAGGAAATCAGCGCCGTTGCAGTCTGTGCACAATGATTGTAACTGGTGGGCTGTGTTGAGTTCCCATTTGTCATTGCTTGGGCGAGTCAGAGAAAAGTCAGGTTCGACCAAAACCTCAGAGCAGTTGCGCGCAAAAGTTTCATCCCTGGCCCCGCGTTTTTCGGAATTAAAGTTACCATCGCTGGACCGAGCCGCCTCCGCCTCTTGGAGAAGAGCCCTGGAGGAGGCCCTTCACTTGTCGCACAAGCAGATCTTCCCCTCGGCAGAGGCTGCTGACAGGAGTTTTAACCGAGCGTCTAGGATTGTAACCGACCGAGCATTCAAGGGATTCTCGGATTGGGCTGAAAGACCTGGTAGCTTAGGCGGCGCGCACAGACTTACTAAGCCGTAGCCCCGCCAGAAAAGGAGGCCATGGTAGCGGTATCGGTAACTTTTCCTCCCCCGAAGAACCCTCCCATCGGACCACCCCTCCCGCCGGAGGCATGCAGCCGTCGCAGGTGGCCGCAGCCAAAGAGGAGGCGCTGGGCCTCGTCGGCGCCGGCGGCGAAGCCCCGGCTCTGCCCGAGGCCATGCCTTTGCAGGGGCGGGGGCGTCCACACATTCATTCGCGCATGTCCCTCCACAGGCGGGGTATTCAAGTATAGCGCAAGAGTTGTCAGGGGGTGATGTTTCAAGCTCTTTTGGCTATATGTTTCATTATTCTTCCAAAATCAGGAGGGGAAAAACACACAGACACAATTAATCCTCGATTCCGCAGAAAATATGGGAAACTATGGGAAGTGGGGAGGAAGACAGAAACTCAGAAAATATGGAAAAATATGGGGCGTCTTTTTATTTGTGTGTATTTATTTGTGTGTCCTTGGGCCCCTTCACTCTTTTGGCTATTGACAGTTATATGTTTCGTCATTCTTCCAAAAGCCGCCTGTGGAGGAGCTGCCCGACCTGGCCCAAGCACTGGGGGGCCCCCCCAAACAGCGTGGTGGCCACGCGGCGCGGTGCGCCGCGGCCGCCGGCACGGATTTGGGACCTGGGCCGTTCTCCCGGGGCGCGCGTCGTTTAATTTGTGGGTCCCGAACGGGAGCTCCAAGGGTCAACAAATACCCCAAAAGGGTCAACACATACTCCAAAAATAGTCCCCAGACTATTTTTGGTTTATTTTTTGATTATTTTTGAAGTATTTGGTATGTTTCGCCGAAAATCCCCCTGTAGGGGGACAGGCCCGACTTAAGGCAAGATGCCTCACGGGTCGGGAACCTTAGTGGGCCCTGGAAACGACAGGGCCGTTTTTTGTACCGGTTCCGTTCTGCCGTTTTTGTTTGCCGGTCCCGACGCCGTTTTTGTTACCGGTGCCGTCGCCGTTTTTGTTGACCGGCTCCAGCTCCAATCCTGGAGCCGTTTTTTTGCCGTTTCCGGTCGCCGTTGTTTTGCCATCTCCATTTTCAAGGGACATTTTTTTGAAAACGGTAAAAAAAAGGCCCTGCCGTTTCCAGGGCCCACAAAGCTCTGGGATATTTTCAAGAGCAAGAACCCCCCCCAGAGGCCCAGGAAGCCGCAGGCGGCCCCAGCAGGCCCCAGGAGACCCCAGGAGGCGCCCCGAAACTGCACGGGGCCCTGGAGGCACCAGGAAGCCCTCGGAAGCCCCAGGAACCCCCCCGGAGGCCACAGGAGGTCTCGGGCAGCCCGTGCCCCAAGAGTCCCCAGCAACGTGCGGTGACGGAGCGCGCGGTGAGGTTTTTGTTGGGGGATGTCGAGGTCGCCGCGCGGTCTGTCACCGCGCGGTGTTTCGCCCCCCCCCCCCCCCCCAATGAGACAAGGCGCCGAAACCGCGTGGGGCGCAGCAGGAGCCCCGGCCCCGGGGCGTCTTGAAAGAGTCGCGGCGGAAGGTTTTTGGGACAATGCTCTGCCTCTGTCCCCCCCCCAAGAAGAGGAGTTGGGAGACGTGCCACACAGACAGTCGAAGAAGAAGCAACGCCATAGGCATACGCTTTTGGCGCTCCGCGCGCTCCGCTCTCCGGCGCAGATCCAAGAAATCCGCACGGAACGCCGAAAGATTATGCCTATGGCGCTTGTTCTTCTTCTAGACAAGTCGGTTGAAGAAATCCGCATTGGTTCATTGCGGCACTCGAACGTGCAATACACCAGTGCGGTCCCCATTCGGTTTCGCTGATCGACGTGCGTTTCGCCGGATACCCTCGTTTGTTCTCGAAGTTCGATCCGCTACCCCGCTGGGGCCCGCTCGGACGGCGGTGCCGCTCGCGCGTGGAGTGCCCGCAGCAGCCTCCACTGACGGGCGTTTTGCAGAAGAGTGCGCCGTCACCCTCCGATGGCGCCGAAACCGCGCGGGGCGCAGCAGGAGCCACGGCGCCCTCGCACCTGGAAGAAGCCACGGCGGGAGGTGCTGGCTTCGGGGCCCCCGCGACTCCGGGGCCACGCTGGGGCGGGACAGGCTCGGGCTCGGGGGCGGGTCGACCCCGACTCGCCCCCTCATCGTTGACAGGTGCCCGATGACCTACCCTCAAGTCGGGCCTGTCCCTCTACAGGAGGGATCTTCCCAAAATAGTCCAACAACTAGTCTGGGGACGATGTTTTCAAGATATTGATCGGCCATCTTGTTGTGTGGTTTGACTGTTTTTTATTTTTCGTCCAAAACCCGCCTTGTCGGAGGACAGGCCCGACTTGAGCCTGCCCCGCCCAGACGTGCGGTGGAACTGCTCTCGGGGGCACGTCGCCGTTCCATCGGCGACGCAGCGCCGATTCCGGATCTCTATCAGAGAAACTGTGGATTCAGTTTGTGTCGGGGTTTCGGTTTTCTGCTATGCCTGGCGGCCCATAGGGGCCAGACGGATCGCGAGGAGGCGGAGGAGGAGGAGGAGGAGGAGGAGGAGGAGGAGGAGGAAGCAGACTGCTTCCTCCCTGCGCCAGTCCCCCGTGATCGTTGCCTCTCGCTTGGGGCTGTCCTCGGCTTCTGTCGGGGGAGAAGAAGATACGGATACGTGTTGTCCCCCTTCGTTTTCGGCCTTTCCTGGTCCTCCTGGGGAATCCTCGTTGTCACCGCTGGATTCGCCTCGAAATTCTGGTCAGAACGCACCCCAAGAGAGATCCGGGGACAACACGTATCCGTATCTTTTCGCCCCCCAATTCTGTGGACCCCACGGGGCCCCAGAAACCAGACTGGAGCAGTTTCTTGTTCCCTGGGCGATGGCGCGCGCCGAGCGTCGTCCAAGCCAGTTTCCGAGGACCGAGGCGAGCACTGGGGCGTTCGTGCATTCGCTGTGCTCGTCGTTGATCTGCCGTGGCGCCTGTCGTTTGGCAGCGGCGTTTGCCATGCTTGCTTGTGTCTTGGCCAGCGAGGCGCCGTGGTGCCTGTCCTGCCTGGTCAATCGTGGAGTAGTTCCACTGCGTCCTCTTAGCAAGTTGTCTGTCGATGTGCGAAACGGTCGCGTTTGAATTCGGCCTTTGTCGGGCAAGCGTGACGTCGTGACGCCTGCCGTGTCCGATTCGTCGTGAGGTTCAGTATGTCAATGTGAGAAATTGCGGTGTCCGTCTTCGTCTAAAGTATCCGTACAAGCTCCTACATGCCGCCAACTCGTTTTTGCTGTTCGGTCCGTTGTGGGTGCCGTCGATCTGAAGGCGGTTATTGTTGACGGGTTAGTCGCCGCTTATCTGTATGATTTGAATGTGTGCACGTTGCTGTATGCTCCGTTTATGTTGCCCGTACGTGTTATGCATATACGTGTATATGTGCACGGTGTCTACCTGCTGTGTGCACGCATGCTTTTCCGGGTGCCACCCACGTATGGTATGCGTACGTGCCGCGATCATCTATATCATGTGGCGCGAGATTGTTATGAGCTGTTGTGACGCGTGTCTGTTACGTATGCTGTTGTCGCGCGTGTGTTTTCAGTGTGTGTGTGTATGTGTATGTGTATGTGTGTGCGTATAGCTTGCATTCTGGTGTCGGATCACTGTGGCTGTTCCATGTGTCGTCGTCCACTGGGGACGCGAGTGCGGACACACCTCTTGGGGCCTGGCTGCCGCGGTATGCGGGGCTGGCGACGCGGGCCGGGAACTCTGGTGCGCACAGCCTAGCAGCCCCAACTTTTTCGAATTTGCGGTCGGGTGAGGGACAGAAGCCAACACAAGGAGGACCCTGGGCCGGGGCACGGTACTCCAGACTTCGTAATACAAGGGAGGGGGTCTGGACCCTCCAAGACAGGCCATTTCAGACCCCCCCCCCGTGGGAGAACCCTCCAAAACATCGTCCCCAGACCCCCCCAGGCCCTCCAAGACGGCCTGGAAGAGACCCCCTCGAAATGGGACCCCCCTCCCTTTATGACGAAATCTGGGGTAGCGGCATACAAGTGCTCTCTGCGAACCGCCGACTTGATGCGAGTCCGAGTCGGCGCCGCCGCCGCCGCCCTGGCCGCCGCCTTGGCCGCCGCCGCCGTGGGGCGATCGGCACCGCGGCCCCCGCGCGCGAGGGCGCCGCGGGCAAGTTCCGGGACGCCCGGGCCAGGCGCGGCCTGTGCCCCTGCCGCCTCCCGCCGCCCTGCCGCCTCCTCCTTCCTCCTCCTCCTCCTCCTCCTCCTCCTTCTCCTCCTCCTCCTCCTCCCTCCTCCTTCCCTCCTCCTCCTCCTCCTCCTCCTCCTCCTCCTCCTCCTCCTCCTCCTCCTCCTCCTCCTCCTCCTCCTCCTCCTCCTCCTCCTCCTCCTCCTCCTCCTCCTCCTCCTCCTCCTTCCTTCTCCTCCTCCTCCTCCTCCTCCGCCCCCCCCACGCCACGGAGGTCTGACGGCACCGTCGGGGCGTTGACCTAAGGAACCCTAAGTACCGAGCATTTCCTTTGGGTGGAGGGCAAAGGGTGAAGTCTGAAATGCCGTTTCGATTGGTTCTCGAGGCTTGAATCTGCAAGAGGTGAATCACAAGACGGATTTATTTTCGAGGTGCAAATGGATTTCACCCTGAGCCCTCCACCCTAAGAAAATGTTCAGAAATAAGGAACGAGGCCCCTTTCCTCCAGAAGTGCAACGTCGACTTCCCATCGAAAATCCAAGATCCAAGGAGAACCTGGGGCAAAACGTGAAGCAGTGAAGGAACACGGAGCCCCTCCCCGACGGAAAGGGTTCCTTCTTCAGCGCCCCGACTGTATGTCGCCACTGATGTCTGACGGTATGCCTTTGACAACTGGCGCTGGCTCCCCAGTTTGGGCCCTCGCGAGGGCCTGCGCCGGACCCCGGCGCCAGCAGCGGGAGCCTTTTCAAGAGACGGGGGTCCGTGCAGACGGGGGTCCGCCGGAGCGCCGGACCTTGCATTCGGTCGGGCGTGTCCCCCTACAGGAGGGGGTTTTTGGACGAAGAATAAAAAAGATTATAAACATATCCAAAAAGATGCCCAAAAATGTTCAAAAATGATACCCTCAGTATTCTTTGACTATGTTTGAAGTTCCCCCCCTGTACAGGGACAAGCCCGACTGAAATCTTGCAGGGCCCCGCAGGGCCAGGGGCAGGGGAGGGCCGCAGGGCCCTCCGCAGGAGCCCGCAGGGCCCTGCAGAGCCCTGCCTGGCAGGGCCTGGACTTCGGGTTGACCCAAAAGGGGGTCCAGCGACAACCCTGACCTTCCAGAGAGCTATTTTTTAGCACTGGAGACCTAAAAACCTAAAAAGCTGATCGAAACAGCCTAAAACCAAGACGTAGAATAGCTTTGGGATAGGTTTTTAAGTCGGGTGCTATTTTTTAGCCCTCCTGGAAGGTCAGGGAAGGGGGTGGTGCAATAGATTTGGTGTCATATATTTGTGGGGTTGCAATACGTTTGGGGCGTGCAATGCATGTCGGGGCGCAAGATGTATTGCTGTGCTGTCGCGCGCAGCACACGGCCTGCAGTCCAAGGCAATGCAGTGCGAGCCTCCGGCGCAACACGGTGGCAGTACGATTGCCCCAAATCTGCTGCACCACGCCCCTGGCAGCTGGACCCCCTTTTGGGGGCCGCCCATGGGGACTGACCCGTGTCGGTAGATCCCTCCCCGACGGCAACGAGGGAGCCGGGACGAAAGCTGGTCCCGGGGAGAGGGCTCGGGAGCCCAGGGGCCGCGGCCTGCAAAGGCCGCGTCGGCGGGCGTCAGGGGCGCCGCGCGGGCGCGGCTCCTGCTGCCGAGATGCCAGGAGGAGGAGGAGGAGGAGGAGGAGGAGGAGGAGGAGGAGGAGGCGGAGGCGGAGGCGGAGGCGGAGGCGGAGGCGGAGGAGGAGGAGTGTCCCACGAGGCCCAGGCTGGGCGAGAGTTGGATGGCGGCATACGCGGGCAGGTGTAATCATCGACTGCGCGCGAGAGTGGCCCTTCGCCGGAGTGACCTGTGGTGCGCGCCCACTGGGGCCCGCTGGTCGCCGAGTGCGGTGCGACGGTAGCGCCTTGCGCGCTTGCGTTTTACCCCCCGCGGCCCTCAGAAAGCCGCGCACCACAGGTCCTTCTTACTCAGGGTCACTCTTGCGTGTAGCCGAATGTATCTCCAGTTCTCTCGACCTCTCTCTCTCTGGCCAGGTGCGCCAGGCTTCCGCGTGTGTGCCCAGCGTGCAGCCCCCAGATGTCCAAACTTGTGACCACAGCCATGCGCGGTTTCCAGATTCCTACCGCCTGAGGAACCGATGCCCAGATTTCTCATGCCGCCCGGCCTCCATCAGCCAAAACTGCGCGAGGACGAGAAAAAATGCGATCGAAAACATGCCCGAATTTGTGACCGAAAACGTGGTGTCACCAAAATTGTGACCGACACTGAAAGTCGTATTGGCTCCGACCCTAACTTTTCGGTCACACATGGGCGCGGTCGGAAAGTTTTGGACGCCAGTTTCGGTTTCACTCGGGCAGATTTTCGAGCACAGTTTAGGTCATTGCACCCCCATGGTAGAGACGAGGCTATGTGAGATTCCTGGCACACATCCACCGCCTGAGGAGCCGATGTCCCGGAACCCGAGGAGGCGGTTGATGTCGGAAATCTTGAACTCTTCGCGTAGCACCATCAGCCCATCCAGAGACGATGCCCAGAGGAGTTGTCTCGATTAGTGAAGTGGGCAGCACATAGAGGAAGGGTCCCTCTTGGAGCGCTCTTGGGACACTCTTGGGCGCTCTTGGGGCCGTCTTGGGGATCTCTTGGGCCCATCTTGGAGCGTCTTGGGTGCCTCGGGGAGCCTCTCGGGGCCTCTTGGGGGCCTCTTTGGAGCCTCTTGGAGGCCTCTTGGAGGCCTCTTGGTCGCCCCTGAGCGCCTCTTGAAGCCCTCTTGAGGCGCTCTTGGGAGCCTTGGGAGCGCTCTTGGGGCCATCTTGCAGGAGATCGATCAAAAAAGATGGGAGCTTCAGTTGCGACCCCCCCTCGGGAGACCCCAAAATCGCCTCTTGGGCCCCTTTGGGGGCGCTCTTGGAGCCCTTTTGGGAGCTCTTGAGGACGTCTTAGGGCTCTCTTGGGGATCCTCTTGGAGCCGTCATGGGCCCTCTTGGAGCTGTTTTGAGGCCTCGGAAGGCCATCAGAAGCGACGAGGCGAGAAGGCACAGTGATTTTTCTTTGGTGTTTGAGGATGCTGGCCTCTTGGCGGCCTCCTGGGGAGGCTCCATGGCCACTCGGAGCCGTCTTGGAGCGGTCTCGGGGCCTCTTTGGAGCATCTTGGGGGCAGATTGAGCCGGTCATCTTGGGCTCTCTGAGGCCCTCCTAGCGCCATTTTGGGCCATCTTGGACGCTCCAACGACCCGCAACCCTTCTCCAGGTCCAGGGGAGGAGGGTAGGGGGAGGGGCACGCCACTTCCCGAAGGGGGAGAAGAAGGGGGTTGGAAGAGAAAGTTCTCTAGACCACATACGCCGAGAGGGCTGGTGGGATTCTCGGGGGGTGGGGTGGGCGGTGACATCCACGTGAGTCGGCCGCTCGGGGTCTGGGAAAATGGGCTCCTCAGGCGATGGACGTTTATGACCTCTGGCCTCGCACTGTTTGCCCCCACCCGCGCTGATCTGCCTCAGCCGCCGTCGCGGTCGTCGTCGTCGGTGGCGCCGCCGTGGTCGCCGCCGTCGTTGTTGTCGTCGTCGTCGCCGTCGCTGTCGCTGTCAGTGTCGCCGTCGGTGTCGCCGCCGTCGTCGGTGCCGTCGTCAACGTCGTCTTCGTCGCCGTCACAGGGGGGAGGAGCGGGAGGAAGGAGGAGGATATGAAGAGTAGGCAGTATGGGGGTGCGGAGGACGGGGAGGGGGGATGGGCAAGCTAGGTGCGCTCGCGTCATATCTGACGTCCTACCCCTCCCTCCCATCCCTTACCATGGCGCTGATTTTCTCTATCCGCGGACGCGTGTCGTAGCGGACCTGTGGCTCCGCGCGCGCGTGCGTAGTGGGTGGTGGTGCGCGTGCGTGCGTGCGTGTGTGCGTGGTTGTGGTGGTGGTGGTGCTGGTGCTGGTGCTGGTGTGTGCTGGTGGTGGTGGTGGTGGTGTGGTGGTGGTGTGGTGGTGGTGGTGGTGGTGGTGGTGCGGCGCGGTGGTGGCGGGCGGATGGGCGCGCGAGAAAGAGGCCCGCGCTGGGGCGAGAACGCCATCCTGAACGACGGAGGCCAAACACCGATCCGAAAATGAGGCCCACGCTGCAGCGGGAGCACGATTCGGAACGATTCGGGTGCAGAAATGAGGCCGGCGCCTCAGCGAGAGCAGCATTTTGAAAAACAACGCAGGCGAAAACCCGTTTCCCGGGAATCCTGTGTGTAAAAAACAGTACGCGGGAGGGGGGTCGGATATCTTCGGGACGCCATCAGGGGAAGTGGGAGAGTATTTTCATATTGTGTAATTGTGGAGGGGGAGGGGGGGTCCAGAGACAATGAGGACGAGGAGGAGGTGGGTGTCGTCGTCATCGTTTCCGTCTTCTTCTTCGTCGTCGTCGGCCTCGTCAGCGTCCTTGTCGTCGCCGACGTCGCCGTCGCCAGAGTCTGCGGACCATTCAAACGGCAAGACGGGGGGATGCCTCGCGGCCCCTCGCCGCCCGCCTCCTCCCGTAGATTGTAGATCACGGAGCGTTCGCTCATCATAGCACTCAGTAGCGAATGTATGCTTGCGAATGTACAGATCGTCATGCAGAGATCCAATATGAGTGTGCGCTGGTGATCACGGAACAGTCGCTCAATAGATCGTCGTTGAGTGTGTCTTGGCGAATAGCACGCAGTAGCGCCAAATAGCGCCGAGTAGCGCCGAACAGCGCTCCAATGGCGCGCTGTAGCGCTGGAGTAGCGCCGTGTGTGGGAGATGCGGTCTGTCCGGTGTGCGCTCGATCGGGCGCGCTCTCTGGGCGCCATGGAGACGATCAAAAGCTTCCGTGAGCTCCGACGACGAGCGAGTGGGGAAGTGAGAAGCAGGAGGCCGTTTCAGAAGGCGGCGGCGCTTCTCGCAAGCGATTCCCCGCCCCCGGCGAAGTGTTCCATGGCCGCCAGGGAAGGCTGCAAAAGGTTGTCGGAAGACCCGCTCTCTCCGTGCCTCCCCCCGTGGGCGCGCCGCCAATCTCTGCCTGGCAGCGCTCAGAGGTGTGCATGGTTTCTCGGCGGGGGCCATCGAAGAGTTACGTTGCATCTTCGGGGGACTTCGCTTGTCCCCAAAATTGGTGTCTTTCCTTCTGCCCGACGCGGGCTCGATGCGGACTCGACGCAGATTTGGCGTGATTCGACACGGATTCGACACGGATCCGACATGGGTTCGACACGGATTCGACGCGGATAGGGCCGCGACGGGACAAACAAGGTCCCCCGATGATGCAACACAAGAAGAGCATCCTGGATTCTCGAGCAAGAAAAAATTGTTTTTTTGATCCGCGGGTCGAGCGCGCACCTCTTCCGGTCGAAGCTCAGCGGGCCGCGCGAAGCTTGAATTAACAAAGGGGGGGGACAGAAGGAGAGCGGCCTCACGGCAAGGCCAGGAGGAGGCAAAACCTCGGGATCAGGCGGTGCCGAAGACGATGTGTTTGCAAAGGAACGCCTTGGACAGGAACCCGGCGGCGAAGCACCAGAAGAAACAAAAGGCTGTGAAACAA